GTACTGGCTTTGATCCTCAGCTCCACATATAAATAAATAAAAACAAACAAACAAACAAATGTATTGTGTGGAAAAAATAATTAATTAAAAACCAGAATTAAAACGGCCATATGCACATAAATGTCAAAAAAAAAATCTAGCAGAAAGTTTTCATCTCTCAAAAGCTAAAAATCATCTTTAAAGTAAATTTTATTACTTTTCAAGAAATACTATTTGCATTTCTGAGCCCCTGAACTACACATTAATATCCCCTCCAATAATTTTCTTCCCAAAATTTCACCATGGGTATTTCTGCCAAGAGACGGTCCACAAGGTCAACTTTTGAGTATCTCCTGTTTGAATATAGGAAGACAAAGAACTAGAGTCCTGAACACCTGAGAGTTGGTTCCTGGTAGTCTGTCCAGTAAAATTACAGCTGGTTGTCSTTTAAATTTCTGAGTGCAGACACCCCCTACACACACTTTAAAGTTTCTTTACCTAACTCATCACACTGATGGAAAAATTTGAGACTGGCTGGGAGGGAAGAAAGACAAGCCTTATGACAGCAGAGCCAGTGCTCACTGCCAGCGTCTGCAGTGGTGGCTGGACTGGACCAAATGCCATTACGTTCTTTTTATTAATAGAAACATGGACAGCTTTCAGCTGAATGTGTTTTCTTCCCGATCTGCGGTCCCTGCCCACCACTTGAAGCKGACGTTCATCTTGAAAGACCTGGCACTCTCCCGACGTTCCACTGACTTTTCATCCCCAGCAGTTATATACTACAGAGCAGCCTTTTTGACTTAGAAAATCAGCATTAACTTCATAGAATCGGGACGTTTAAATGAGATGGGCACGGAAGGGGCACTCTGTAAATGACAGCAGCTCCTTGTGCTTCTGCACAATCTTTCTGGAGYCCCCCAGTCAGAATGGGAGCCCTGGGAATAGTCTACGTAAGCACAGAGGGCTTCGCTGGAATTTCCCTCTTGTAGCTGGGAGGCCTTGGGAAAAACAAATAAAACCTCAGAGCAACGAASGAATGCCATAAATATTATGACTACTACGTATCACCAGGAGCAAGCGGGAAACCGCAGCCTCACTCCACCGTGCGACTGCCTTTCCCTTTAAGTATCTGCGGACCCGCCCCGCTTCCGGAGAATKCCGGAAGTAAGAGTACGCCGCCACGCAGTCAGATCCTTCCGCCGAGCGCGGCCCTAGGGCCAAAGGATTCGTTCCTTAGTTCCCCAGATTTCCTCCTCTTGCTCCSGTGCGCCGCYTCCAGCGTCCTYGACTCCCACTTCCCCCTCCACTAGYSCCGGAGACYTTTCCTCGCCGTCCTAAAGCCTAGGCCCTCTGATTCCGCGGAGTGCGGTCCGTGCTGCCGACAGGACACACCCCCGAGGACTCACTTCCGGCGACGCGGCGGCGGGGTCGGAGCCCGGCAGGGAGTGAGGCCTACYGAGGCTTTCCTGGGATGGACGCTTTGGCAGTCATGATGCAGGATCTGCTAACCCAGAACCATGCTCTGCGCAGGGAAAACAACGAGCTCATGGACCAGGTCCGGCGCCTGCTGTGCGAGAAAGCCAACCTGCTGGCCCAGGTGCGTCCRCCCACCTGCCCGGTGGTTTTTCCCGAGACGTTTAACGGCGACCCCGCTCGGCTCCCCGATTTTCTGATCCAAGCAGCATCTTACGTGAACTTCTTCGAGACCAGATWTTCGAATGACACCCTAAAGGTGGCATTTGTAATCAGCCGCCTCTCTGGGCCGGCGGAGGAGTGGGTGGTCCCCTACATCGAGAGGGAGAGCCCCATCCTGGGTCAGTATGAGCGCTTCGTGGACGCGCTGAAGCGGGCCTTTGGTCGCAATGGGTAGGAAACGGTCCGGCCGGGACTCCCCATGTTGGAGGGACAGCTGCGGCCTGGGGCTAGCCTTGCTCGCACCCCGAACCTGGGCCTCCTTGGCTTTGTCTGACAAGTAGCTCTGGGCTCCTGGCCTTGTCTGAAACTTGGGCGCCATCTATTCTGGCCAGCCCCAATGCCTTTGCACTTCCCAGCAACCCAGCTACAACCCAAGTTTGCTGTTCATTAAAGACGTTATTTGATCTGTAAGAATTTGAATAGACATTTCAGACTCAAGTCGTCCTCTCGGAAGACTGCTTCTGACCGCTTTGAAAAACAGCCAAGGAGGGTCCATACACT